GGGGGGGTTCCAGGTCCCGAAAGACAAGGTGGGGCCCAAGAATAGAGGGCTTGCCTGAGATGCAGATGTCTGGAAATTGGGATTGGATCTGATGCGCCGCTAGCTGCAGGGATTAGAGGCCCTCCGGTTAGGGGCTTTGCCTAGGGTACCGGTGGTCAGGGTTCACATCTCTGCAGATCCTCGGATTTGTTACTTTTACTTTTCTTTTCCAAACTTTTTTTTCTTATTTTGATTTGACAATTTTTGTTTCTTCATTTTTTGTTTCGCTTTTAGAAAATTTAAATTGTTCTTCTTTGTTTCTTTGTTGTTGTTTTTTCCTGTATGTTGTTTCTGATTGTTTGTTGTTGGGGTGGTGCACTTGAAAAGGGGCACTAACAGGGCGGAGGTTCCGCTTCGCAGACAAATCCAGGAGCAGAAATCATAGAACTGCACACATCCGAATTCCAGTGAAACCCTCCTTGTACCGGCTCCCATTGAACGCCAGCCCAACTTACCGCCAGTTTTTGGCAATGTGCATAGAGGAAGGCCAATAGAAACAATGTTCGCCTTCACTCCGCCCCCCGCCAACTGTCTGAGTTGTGTGGTCCTAATAATTATCATTTTAGTCTAACGTAACCTCAGCCCGCTATACTGCCAGTGAACTAACTGCCAGAGGTACACACTGCACACTGCACACTGCACACTGCGCTTAGCACACACTGCCTGGCTACTTGATACTCTGTTTTCACCACGAGAAAGTTCTAGAATAGAGAGAGAGAAGATCCTCGGCAATACCTGTGTATTTACATGTATCTTCTTCTTCTTCTATCCCGGGGTTGGGGCAACTGTGGGGGCACCACTGCATTTGAAAACCAGCTCTCGCAATCTATTTTTGTCCTCTGCTTTCCTCAGATTGTCACCCATTGTCTTTCCTGTCCACTCTGTAATGTTGTCCTCCCATCTCCTTCTCTGCCTTCCTCTCTTTCTCTTTCCTTGTACGGTTCCTTGCAGGATTGTTTTGGCAAATCCTGTGGATCTTGTGACATGCCCATACCATTTTAATTTTCGTTTCTTCACTGCGGTCAGTAGATCTTCATATTGCCCCACTGCGTTGGTGATTCTCTTTCGTACCTCAGCATTGAAACGTGGTCTTTGTACGAGATGTCAAGGAGTCTCCGGTAGCATCTCATCTCTGTGGTCTGAATCTTTTTCTCTAATTCTGCTGTTAGTGTCCACAACTCGCAGGCGTATAAAAATATTGAGATGACCAGTGAGCCCATTTGTA